TGCTACTCTATAACTGTAATTTTGCTACTGTTATGAATCGTCATGTAAATATCTTTTTGTTTTCCGATGGTCTTAGGCGACCCCTGTGAAAGGGTCGTTTGACCCCCAAAGGGGTTGCGACCCACAGGCTGAGAACCACTGCATTAGGGCTTAGAATGTCTTAACAAGCCTAGTGTTTTTATTATAGTTTTCCTTTTAGAGACTCTCCAAGAGAAAAACACTACTTTCCTTAGCCTCCTCTATTTTTGGAGCAAATTGTTAAGATTGTGAAACTCAAGAATGTAGTAATTCCCTGTTTTAATTCACCACCAAAGCTGTTCCAACGTTCAGGTGACAAAATGTCCACTTGTAATTCTTGGGAATTCGTTAGGGTACCAATTACCTGCATTTTCTATATACTCCCCACCCCCTTTTGTTTTGAGGCTTGAGGAAATGGGAAGAGAGAAGGGAGAAAGCACATTAGGAAGAACTAATTCCTTGTTTTGACTTCGTATTATGCTCCATTTGTATTCAAGCGCTACTGCTGGATTGTTGTCTCCCCAGGAACCGCGCCGTCCGTGGACTTGCTGTTTAACCTGGATCGTGTTACTGCCAGTGAATACTTACTCAAGTCAGTCTTGCTGTACACGTTCAACAACTCAGTTTCTTTTCCCTCCGCTGTTAAATGCGTGCACATCCTGGTGATGAACGAGCCAGGGTCCTCTCACAAGGCTCCCCCTCCAGCTTCACGCTCCTTTACCTTCAACTCACAGTTTGAATTTAGAAAGAAATACACGTGGGTTGAGGTTGATGTGACCACTCTCCTTCAGCCTCTAGTGGCCTCTGACAAGAGAAGTGTTCACATGTCTGTCGACGTTACCTGCGTGAAAGACCAGCTGCAGCATCCCTCAGCCCAGGAGGGTCCCTTGAAGCTGCCTCTTCTGGTACCCCCGTCACTGCTTTTATATCTAAACGACACGAGTGCTCAGGCGTATCAGAGGTGGTATTCCCTCCGCTTTAAAAGGAGACTTTCACAGGCTCCTGACCAGGAGAGAGGCCTGTCTGCCCATCCCACGGGAGAAGAGGCTGCTAAGGGAGTAAGGCCTTCCCGTCACCAGAGAGGTCAGGAAGCTGTCAGCTCGGAATTGAGGAAGCCTCGGGTTCCAGCGTCTTTCAATCTGAGTGAATACTTCAGACAGTTTCTGTTTCCCCAGAATGAGTGTGAGCTCCATGACTTTAGACTTAGCTTTAGTCAGCTGAAGTGGGACAACTGGATTGTGGCCCCGCACAGATATAACCCTCGGTACTGTAAAGGGGACTGCCCACGGGTTGTCGGGCATCGGTACGGCTCTCCGGTTCACACTGTGGTGCAGAACATCATTTGCGAGAAGCAGCTGGACTCCTCAGTGCCAAGGCCATCGTGCGTGCCGGCCAAATATAGCCCTCTGAGTGTGCTGACCATTGAGCCTGATGGCTCCATCGCTTATAAAGAATATGAAGATATGATAGCCACTAAGTGCACCTGCCGTTAACACATGGTCCTCTAAAACCTTGAGCCCCTTTGGCCAAGTCAATGCCATGCGCCTCTCTGTGCCTTCAGGAGAAAGCTTCATGTGTCAAGTCTCTAAATATAATGTAGCATGTCTTGTAGAAGGAGGTACCTGTGTACATTAGCACACTTGGTGACATCTATCAGCGTAAAGAGATAACATCTACCTTTCTTATTTGCAAATGTACAATGAATGTAATTATTTTGGAGAGCTTTCCATTCCCCCCCCCCCGAGATTTTTTTTTTCTTTTCGTAAGTCTTGTTTCTGATGTTTAAAAAAACTTAATTAGCATTAATCTTGGATGGAATTGCAGCTCTAAATAGACAGTTCAGAGTGTTGTAGTCTTATTTAATTGAAGAATAAATTTCTAGCAGTGGCATAAGTTTTCTGCATGTATTTATTAAATAAAGATTGCTTTTATATGATCATTTGAGAGACAGAGGGAATGTGCCTAAAAGCTAGTCTTGGCTCAACTTTTGATCTTTTTCAGAGTAAAAGAGAGGCTAAGTTCTTTACCTAAATTCTGATGAAGTGAAATTCACTAGGACTAGAGATTATGCCACAAAACCCACTTCTATTGTATTAGTGTGACCGGTACAGAATATACTAACTGTGCTCATTAGATGGCTTGTATAAATTGGTTGATTCACATCAAACAATATAACATTTTTTCCCTTTACTTAAAGGAAATTGCCTTGCAGATTTTTTCCAAGAAAATGGCAAGATTCAAGGTTTTAAAAATATTTTTTTCTCCTTTATATATTTAAAATCTCTGACCCTATGGAAGGAAGTCAAGGGGCATTTTTTTCGTTTGTTGTTTTGTTTGTTTTTGCTGGTTTCCCTCATCTCCCATCACTCCACCCCCACATATATTTTTTTCAGGTGGGTTTAGGACTGTTCCCACTAAACCAACTGGCAGTGACTCGGCTCTATTACAGAGTGAGTCTTGTTTGGGTATGAGGACTTATATGTGAGTTTCCAATAAATCTACCTTAGCGAGAGCCCTAGGGGCACAGAGTTAGAGATGATGCAGCGATTTCTGTCTCAGAGATTCCAAAACCCTAGTCTACAAACCAAAAGTAGCTCCTAGATGCAAGAAGTCCTTCAACTCCTATAAGTGATCTTTTCTCATGCTTAGTGTCTAAAGAAGTCAGCTGGGATTTTGGTAGGGATTGTGTTGGATCTGTACATCAGTCTGGGGAGTATTGCCATCTTAACAATGCTAAGTCTTCCAATCCATGAGTGAATGTGGGGTATTTTTCCCTTTGTTTAGAGCTCATTTCTTTCAACAATGTTTTATAAATATTGAGTATAAGTTTTACACTTTTTATTGTGAAATTTATTTCTAAGAATTTTATTCCTTTTGATGCTATTATGAATAGAATTGTTAATTTCATTTTTTGGGTTGTTTCCTGGTGCTATCTTGCATGTGTATTATAAACCTGCACATACTGACTTAAATGCTCTGTTTTCCGCTCATGATTTTTTCCTCTCAAAAACATTTTCAGGGGGCGGCTGTTTAGCTCAGTTGGTTAGCGCGCAGGCTCATAACACCAAGGTTGCCGGTTCCATCCCACATGGGCCACTGACATGCACCCTCCACAACTAGATTAAAACAACTACTTGACTTGGGGCTGATGGGTCCTGGAAAAACACGCTGTTCCTCAATAAATTTTTTTTAAAAAGACAAAAGAAAGAAATTTCAGAAAAATAAGACTGAAACAAACGGAGGCCCAATTTCCAAATAAATTTACCATCTTATTGTGTAACTTGAAGGAGTCACATTATTCTTTTGTAAATAAGGCTGCAAGTCTAAGAGATAAATGGTGTTTCAAGGGTTTTGTATCAACTTCTGTCATCCTTAGGAATAAAAAATATCTGGAATGCAAAGGGCATGAGTAATGATGGCAACGTGCAATTGAACTTATTTGAAAGTAAGTCTCCCTTAAATATGGCTGTTTTCAAATAGACCACATGAAATATATATCAACTCAAAGGACTCCTCATAGTACCCTAAACTGACTGACTTTTTTTTTCTGAAACAGGAATTTGTTTTGTTCTTTGTTTTTATTTTTCTCTTGGCCTAGTTCTGTGGCTGAATGTGGAATGTGGTCTGCAATTTAAAGGTTTCAAAAAGAAGAGAAAGAAGGGGTAGTTCTGATTGAAGTTAAGTATCAAGGTCTATGCCAAAATTAGGAGCAGAAAAATAGTTCATCCTTATATGTAAGTTCTAAAACTGACTTAAAAACACTTCTGTACAGTGTTTTGATGCTGCAGCTGAGTAATGATAGCTTGAACTATAAGCTTGGCTTTTTGTTATTATTTTTTAGACTTTATTTGTAAATCTAGTTTCACTAACAAGATAGTGTTAATATTGAGGGCTGATATATCTACTAAATGTAAACTTCAAAGATTCTCTTCTACACAATTGAGGAGGATATACTAGGCTCCCAACTGCCTCCTCCATATAAAACCTGTTTTTCTTGGGTTACTCTTATAAAAGCTGCCACTTAGAAAATAAATGAGAAAGGACAAAGGTGATTTAAATCTGGAAATTCAAGGATGAGGCCACATCTGCCTTAAATAGATGCATTCAGCTTTGGTATTTAGTCCAGATGAGATACGAGGTCCCCTAATGTGATGAGTGCCTCAGTATGCTGGGGAACAATGGGGCATGTCAGGAGCCGGTTTTACCTTCAGCTCCAGAGTTTCCTGCTCTTTATCTGTTTAAATCAACTCCTGTGTTATGTTGAATGCTTTGTGTTTTACTAATCAGCTTCAAGGGCAGCAGCCACTGGGACTTGGTTTAGAGCTCAGTTTAGACAGCCTGTGGGAAAAATAAAGTTGCTCTTTCATGGGATAAAGGAGGAAGTATTCATGGTAATATAGGTGATAAAAGAAAAATGCTCAGATGGAAGATCTTGGTCTATATCAAAACTTTAAGTAGTCGGTTTTAATTTGTAACTTTGGGCGGATTGCAACGAATAAAATGACAAATTAAGTGAAATTAAAACATTTAAAATATTCTTTTAGAGGATGTCAGTCCCAAAAATATTCCTTAAGTATATAGTTTGGCTGAATGGATTGATACAATAGAAAAGTGTGCTGTTTTATCCATTAACTGTTGTCTAACTTGAAGGAAAGATAAACGCAACCAGGGAATTGACGCTTCATCCTTTACCGGAATTGACAAGTCAGGTATGTTCTCTTCTTGCAGTTAATTACTTCCTAATGCAGCTGTCCTTCCCAAACCACAGATTTATTGGTCAATGTTTGAAAAGGGCCTTGATTTGTTAATAAGACCAGGACTATTTCAGTATCCATTTGAAGAACAGGATTTTACAGATGGCCTAACAGTATTTCTTTGTCCTACCTTTCTATGTAATGCAACTTGTATGGGAGAACTGAGTAACGAGATATATGTGGATAAGGGTCAACTGTACACTTTGGGCCTCTTAAATGCTTTGTGAATGGTTTATAGAGTTATTTATAGACCTGTCTTTGGTGCTGAGGTCTTTCCATGATGAAATGCTCTGACAGGCAGTGCTATGAGTTCACAGCCTGTGCCTGGATGTCATTTTGGCTTTCTCAGAAATAATTAGCTCATTGAATAAATATTTATTGAGTGCTGACTATGGGCCAGGCGTTGTGTGTGGTTAGAACAGTCTAATGTTCTCAGCTCCAGGAAAGATACATCATCTACCAGAAATGGAGACTTCTTTTTATTACCCTAAGTTCCACCAGTGAGCATTTGCCACCATAGAACACTCTGTGGAGGAATACATTTTGGGGTGCTACTACGTAAGCAGGCTGAATGAATTCTAAATGATCTTATCTTTAGATTGGAATTTTTAAATTAAACTTGTTCTAAAATAATTGTAGATTCACATGCAATTGTAAGAAATAATAGATCTCTTGTATCCTTTATCTAGTCCTCTCAATGATAATATCTTGCAAAAGTATATGGCATACTGTCACAACTAGGATATTGACGTTGTTACAACAGATGACATTTTGCCACATTGAAATCCACTTGGGTTAAGAGAAATGCTGATCCTAACAACAAAGTTTTGTTTTTTTGTTTTTCAAAGATTTTGTTGGGGAATTGGGGGAGGGAACAGTGTTGGGAAATTGGGAAAGGGGAACAGCCAAGTTGTCCTTCAATCTTAGTTGTGGAGGGTTCAGCAAGCTCAGTTCCAAGTTCAGTCGTGCAGCTCAGCTCAAGGTGCTGTGTTTAATTAGTTGTAGATGGGCATAGCCACCATTCCATGTGGAAGTCGAACCAGCAACCTGTTGTTCAGAGAGCATACTCTATCCACTGAGCCATCCAGGTGGCAGCTCAGCTCAAGGTGCCGAGTTCAGTCTTTAGTTGCGGGTGGGTGTAGCCCACCATCTTGAACAGGCAACCTTGTTAGGAGTACATGCTCTCACTAGCTGAGCCATCCTGTCACCTGTCAGTAGCTCAGCAGCAGCTCAGCTCGGGTGCAGCTTACTGGTCCATGTGGGAATCAAACCAGTGACCCTGTTGCTCAGAGCTCGTACTCTTAAGCAAGCTCTTAACGAACTGATCCACTCGGCCGGCCCCTAAACAAAATTTTGATGTCTCCTGATGGAATTAATGGTTCAAAACTTTTCATTATCTACCACTCACGTCTACCTTTGAAAAGGGCTCAAAGATGGGGCAAAGATATACGAGGTGTGATCAAACAATACAGTGAATGTTTAAATTTAAAAAATTATCACAGTAAAAGACACATTGCCATTAATCCCCCTACTTCAAACACACTTATCCCATCGTTTTTGCCACTTTCTAAAGCAGTTCTGGAAGCCCTCTTTCGTGAGTGTCTTTAGTTGCGCTGTCATGGTTGCCTCAGTGTCCTGAATTGATTCAAATCGTTTACCTTTCATGGTCATTTTGACTTTGGGGAAGAGCCAGAAGTCGCATGGTGCCAGATCCAGTGAATAAGGTGGATGAGGACACACTGTAATGGTTTTATTTGACAGAAATTGCCATATACCAGAAGCGATGCACGACACGATGCCTTTCTGTTGTGACCCAAAAGTACGGTGAATGCTGCTACCGAGTGTCATCCAACGGACAGGCAGGGACCTTCAATACAGAAAGCGGCTCGTGGAACCTTAGTGTGTGACAAGTTTCAACTTGTTTGGTGAAGTCAGTCAGTGTGAGCTACGGTTGAGAGGTGTATCTTATTTTATTTTTTTTGTAATTTTTTTATTAGTTTTCGGTGTACAAAACAATACAATAGTTATACATTTCACCCCTCACAAAATGACAACTCCTCTTCCCCAATCCACCGCCCCCCCCAATATCATACATATCTATTACAGTTTCATTGACTCCACTCCCACACTATACTCCACGTCCCATGACTATATATATATATATATATATATATATATATATATATATATATATTCAATTGTAGTTGACATACAATATTATACAACATCTGCTTCAGGTGTACAGTTCAGTAGTCAAGCCTCTACACCGTCCATGAAGTGGTCTCCCTAACAAGACATGTGTCCATCTGACACCCAAAAAAGTATTTACAACCTTATTGATTATATTCCCAAACTATCTTTGATATCCCTGTGGTAATATTATAGTTACCAATTTATGTAACTTCCCCTTTCTCCCTCATCCCGCCCCTCTCCCATCTAGCAACCGTCGGAATTTCCTCTATATCTCTGAGGCTATTTCTTTTTACTTTGCTCATTTATTTAGTTCTTTGAATTCCACATATAAGTGAGATCATATGGTATTTGTCTTTCACTGACTTATTTCACTTAGCATAATGTTCTCTAGGTCCATCCATATTGTTGCAAATGGTAAGATTTCATTCTTCTTCATAGCTGCGTAATACTCCATTGTATAAATGTACCACCGTTTCTTAATCCAGTCATCTATCGATAGGCAGTTTGATTGTTTCCAAGTCTTGGTTATTGTAAATAGTGCTGCAATAAACAGGGGTGCATATATTTTTTCAAATTAGCATCTTAGGTTTCTCTGAATAGATACCTAAGAGTGGAATTGCTGGGTCATAAGGTAGTTCCATTTCCAGTTTTTTGAGATACCTCCATACTGATTTCCACAGTGGTTGCACCAATCTGCAGTCCCACCAACAGTGCACCAGGGTTCCCTTTTCTCCACAGCCTCGCCAGCACTTGTTGTTTGTTGATTTATTGATGATAGCCAT